CTCTACAGATTATACAGATTCGTACAGGTCTCTAGTTTTAAGTACTCTGTTTTTATTCCTATTTATCTCATTTCAATGAGCATTCCTTTGTCTGTCTGCATTGTTTACTGCCTGTTTATACTGCTTATTTTGCATAGTTTGCCCTGGTTGTTGCTTGTTAATACTGCTTATTATTTTTGTTATCTTACACAGCCTTACGCTGGTTTAATGTTTACTTGCCCCTTGCATGGGAATATGTACATACACATTGAGAGCCGATGTACCAGAGTCACATTCTTCCTGTGTCCGACACACCTGGACAATAAAACAGATTCCAATTCTGATTCTGACCAATATCTTCTAGCAAAACATGGTCCCAGTACAGGATCATCTCATATTACACCACACATTAAGAGTATGGAAAGCATGTTTTCATACTGTTAGGTATTTTTAGTCAGATAGACATTGGTTAGACACTTCATGTATTAGAAATATTTAGTGTAGACAGGATGTCTAGCTCAGGCTGTTAAATGCTTAGTCATTCCCATAGGGTACTCCAGGTTGTTCATGTTCAAGGATAACTAGATAGAAAGTTGATTACTGTTAGGAGACAGAATGTTTATTATTATTATTATGACGTGTGTAATCACAATATTTTCTTATGCTTAGTGTCATGACATGTCACTAGATGTCATGTCAGATTGTTTTAGATATACACCACACAATCAACAGACAAACCACACATTGATTTTCTTCATGTTTTGACTATTGCTATGGCCAGCTGCACAGCTGGCACCGGAGACGTCACGGTTTGGCGTCCCTGAGTAGTATGGGGCTAGCCCAAAAGTGATATATTGTATAGGCCTGTTATGGTTCAGGGCTTTTCATCTATCAGCTGCCTGCGTGCATGTTGGAGGTGCAAAGACTCCTGAGCGTGTAATGTTAATTTTACCTGTGTTCATTGAATAGATCAGCACTGTTTTGAAGTTACTCGGACTGCTTCGTCTCTCAGAGTTAACGTGGTGAAAAGAACTGGGTCCAACAATACTGTAACATCTTTAAGACTCTACGGGCAGCGTGATGCTTAAACCAACCCCAACCAGTTTCCCCTACCCGTTCCAGGGTTTGGGAACAAAATTTTACTTTTAAAGGACCTCTGCTGACGTCATCTTTCGGCGACTTGTCGTTTGGATTGCAACACAAAGGTAACAACATTACCACACAAGGACTTGTTCATTCACTCACTGACAAGGGAAAGCTGTATTTGCACAAAACAGAACTTAGATCGATGTAAGTGGCTATTTACGAAATCGGCATCTTACAGCAAACGGATAAAAATAGCGCTGATATGCTGGCTAACATGGACGGTCAATGGTGTAGGCATTAGCAAAATAGCTGTCATAGTTTTATTGCAATACCTTCGTTCCCCGTAGGATGTGAGGGTAAATTGTGTGGTTATTGGGTCACTGTATGTATGTATGTATGTATATTTGGTTTGCATTCTAATTAACGCGCAACCAGGCGACCCGCCTCAACCTGCTGAGCAAATTCGCCCGTAACATGGTTAGCTTGTAAAGTAGCCAACATTAGCTACAAATCGAACACGCATGTGGATAGCTTATTTTCATTCCTAATATTTAGTTTGATTTGTTTTACGCAGCCAGTTATTTACCCATTGCTGGCAGGCTAACGTGTGTTTTTAATGTTGAAACAGGTGGTTGCTTCGGTCCTGAAGTGGCGATAGTATGGCGACCGCGGAAGCTCCGGTGTGGGATGAGCACCAAGCTTATGAGGAGCTGCTGTACTGGGACAGCCTGATCCAACAGGGCCACCACCTCCACCCGCTTGATTTCGATAGGTGGCTTACACACATGCACGCTTTGTTGCTATAAATGGAAACAACGGAGATTAAGACAAGGGAATTGCATTTAACGTAGTGTAGCACATTTAAATATAAGTAAGCTCTCTGAAGTATACACGACAAGTAACGTGAAGGAGTATACAACTAAAATTATTTTAAAGAAAAACCTAGAGGAAATAAAGCGCCTAAAGAAGTGTTGATTGCCACAAGCATATACGCATACATAAATCAGTTCTAAGCCTAAAACATTGTATATTTTAATTTTGCTTTTGAACGTAGGCACGGTTCAGAATCAGCTAGCCAGGTGTGCTGGACACCAGGAATTTGTCTCTGGTACACCAGCTTTCAATGTGCATGTACATATCCCCATGCAAGGCAACAGCAAGGGAAGTAAACAGTATACCAACATACTCCATCCATAACAAAATAAACAGGCAGTAATGCAGTCAGACAAAGGAATGTTCATTGGGAGACTAGATAAAAATAGAATAAGAATGGAATACTTATAAATTATAAGAGACCTGTACGAATCTGTATAATGTGTATTTACCAGTATTGCACTGAGGGTTATTGTCATATTGTCGTGGGTTAAGTGACAGCTCAGGGGGAGAAACTGTCCTTGTGCCTGGTTGTTTTGGCACACAGTGACCTGTAACGCCGTCCAGGGGGGAGGAGTTCAAACAGATTGTGTCCAGGGTGTGAGGACTCTGCAGTGATCTTCTCTGCCCTCCTTTTGACCTGTGAGGTGTACAGGTCCTCCATGGAGGGCAGGCTTGCACCAATGACCTTTTCTGCAGTCCTGACTATCCACTGAAGTCTCTACTTGTCCTGTTTGGTTGCTGAGCCAAACCAGACAGTGATGGAGGTGCAGAGAACAGACTCGATGATTCCTCTGTACAACTGTATCAGCAGCTCTTGGGGCAGGTCAAACGTCCTGAGCTGGCGCTGTACCTTCTTGATGATGGTCCTGATGTTGGACGTCCACTTCAGATCCTGGGAGATAGTGGAGCACAGGAACTTGTAGGACTTTACTGCTGATACAGTGATTATACAGTGCTGCCAAGTATGGTGAGTGGGGGTAAGGTGGGCAGGCATTCCTGAAGTCCACTGTCATCTCCACTGTTTTGAGCTTGTTCAGCTCCAAGTTGTTGTGACTACACCACAGGACAAGCTGTTCTACCTCCCATCTGTAGGCTGACTCATCACCATCACAGACGAGTCTAACGACCGGGTCAGTTTGGAGTAGTGGATGTCTGGTATGATGGTGTTGAATGCAGAGCTGAAGTCCACAAAGAGTGCCCGTGCATAGGTCCCTGGGGAGTCTAGGTGTCGCAGGATGTACTGCAGTGCCATGTTCACTGCATCGTCCACTGACCTGTTTGCCCGGTAGGTGAACTGCAGGGGTCCAGCACTGGGGTCTATGATGTCCTTCAGGTGGGTCAACGCCAGTCTTTCAAAGGACTTCATAACTACAGATGTCAGGGTGACAGGTCTGTAGTTGTTCAGTCCACTGATGGAGGTTTTCTTGGGGACTGGGATGATGGTCAAGCGTTTGAAGCAGGAGGGGACTTCCCACAGCTCCAGTGACCTATTGAAGATAAGTGTGAAGATGGGGGCTGGCTGATCAGCACACACTTTCTGGCAGGAGGGGGTCACGCCATCTGATCACCACCTTTGTGATCCTTTGGTTTTTTTTTTTTTTGTTTGTTTGTTTTTTAAAGAGGCCACGCACATCCTTTTCACAGATCATTAGAGGTGGGGGGCTGGAGGGAAGGGTGGTGATTGTCGGGAGAGCAGCTGCAGTTGTGATACTGTATGCTGTCAAGGAGCTGATTGATAAAGGCAACATTTTGTGCTGAAATCGCAATATTGTCACAGCCTGTTGGATAAAATGTAAGATTACACAGTCGGCTATATTAAAGCAGAGAGGGTAGATAAACCCTTACAGGATCTTTGTTAATTGTTCAAATTGACAGTGAAAAATGTTGATTGGTAAATGCAGAGTAAACAACAAAGCCCCTAGTTTTACCCACAATTGTTGTAGCACCTTCTTTTGACTCAAAGGAGCTTGATTTTCAGCGTTTTCCTCATTTGTCATTTCCTCCTTTCAGATACGAGGAGCTGCGTTACTGGTATGACTGCCTGTGCTATGAAGAAGAGCTGAGACAGTACCATGACTACATTGCTGCTATTGAGGAGATTGAGGACAAACTGCATCACGAGGTTCTTCTTTCACCTACTAAATCAATAAATACTTAAAACTATCCATAATCTTATAACTTGAATCATTTTGCCTACTTATTCTTCCACATTAAAACAGAACGTCTAATATTTTCTTTTATTACCTTATGTACTTTAAAACAATGGCTCTTCCTCTGGCATGAAACCTGTGTCCTGTGCATGTGATGTTTTATTTTCATCACACACTTCCTGACTACTACCACTAATAATATACTTTCCAACTCTGCATGCTATATTTCAGTAGAATATACCAGAGTAGTAATAAAGAAGTTACAGTGGGTACGGAAAGTATTCAGACCCAATTAAATTTTTCACTCTTTGTTATATTGCAGCCATATGCTAAAATCATTTGTTCATTTTTTTCCTCATTAATGTACACACAGCACCCCATATTGACAGAAAAACACAGAATGTTTGACATTTTTGCAGATTTATTAAAAAAGAAAAACTGAAATATCACATGGTCATAAGTATTCAGACCCTTTGCTCAGCATTTAGTAGAAGCACCCTTTTGAGCTAATACAGCCATGAGTCTTTTTGGGAATGATGCAACAAGTTTTTCACACCTGCATTTGGGGATCCTCTGCCATTCCTCCTTGCAGATCCTCTCCAGTTCTGTCAGGTTGGATGGTAAACGTTGGTGGACAGCCATTTTCAGGTCTCTCCAGAGATGCTCAATGGGGTTTAAGTCAGGGCTCTGGCTGGGCCATTCAAGAACAGTCACAGAGTTGTTGTAAAGCCACTCCTTC